TTTTTTGCAGTACCAGGGATTGAACTCGGGACCTTGCACTTGTAAGGCAGGTGCTTATGCCGCTGAGCTATCTCCCCAGCCCTGAGTTGAATATTATTTGTGAAATCTGTACCTTAGAAATCTTCTCATGTTTCTAGCGGAGGTTGCTACTTCTGATGCAGCTTTAGCTCAGAGCCGCCACCATCATCAGGCTGAGCTTCTCACTGGCCTTTGTTCTCTTGTGTTCTGGGTTTCTTTTCTTCTCTTCCTCCTCACACCCCTCTTCTCTGGCCTTCCCCACTTCCTGTACTCCCCCCCATGTACTGGATGGAGATTGAGCCAGAGCCCTCCCTCTGAGCTGCACCTCAGGCCCCTTTTCTAGCATTTTCTGCTGGAGGGAGGGTCTCCCTGAGTCACTGAGCTGCCCAGGCTGGGCTCACACTGGCCGTTCTGCCCCAGCCTCCCATAGTGCTTGGGTGTAGCCTGAGTCACCATGCCTGAGGCCGTGTTCTGTTCTTAGCCATGTAGAGCAACAGTCTTCAGCTGGCGACCTTCTGGAATAATTGTCCAAGTTACTTTTTGCCCTGGTTTGCTTGCTGTGCTTGCTGCAGATGACCAGCTAGGCAAGGCTGGGGCTGGGGAAGTCTTGGAACGGGTATCCTTGACCACACCTGAGGGTCCCCAAGGATTTTCTGCACCCAGAGGAAGATGTTTACATATGTGTGCCAGTTCCTTTGTTCTCACATTAGATGCCTCTAAGAGGATTTTTGTCTTCGTGCTGTCACTCCTCACTCTGCCCAACTTACCTTGTTTGTGGTTGGACATTTGCTTGTTTGTTACTACTGACATTTTTAGAAGTAACAAGTGGGGATTTCAACATGGTAAAAGGTGGTTTGAGATAACAATTATCTCAGGCTGGGGAGATAGCTCAGTAGAATAAGCACTTGCCTTCAAGTCCAAGGTCCTGAGTTCAATCCCCAGTACCCCCCCCAAAAAAAAAGAGAGAGAGAGAGGAAAAAAGAGAGAGAGAGAGAGAGGAGAGAAAGAGAAATAACAATCATCTTGAGAATTAGAAAGAGGAAGCAAAATTGAAATGAGCAGAGGTTGCTCAGGCATGGTTTGGGAAGCTGGGCACAGTGGCACACATCTGTTGTACCAGTCCTCAGGAGGCCGAAGCAGAGTTCAAGGCCAGCCTGAACCATGAAGTGAGAGAGACCTTGTCTCAAAAAATAAAACAAGACATGGTTTGGGGGTGGGGGAAAGCTTTTCTCCTGTGGGCTCTCAAGCCGGCCAGGCTCTAGGAAAAGAGAACCATCCCTCTGCTTCCAAGTCAGCTGACTTATGGAAGGGGGAGGGAGAAGACAAAGAACTGGTATTGCTGAGCGGTGTGTGTGTGTGTGTGTGTGTGTGTGTGTGTGAGAGAGAGAGAGAGAGAGAGAGAGAGAGAGAGAGAGGAAAAGGACAAAGTAAGCTAAGTTTTGTGCCCCATTTCCAGCTATCTACTGAGCCCTTTTCGTGTGTGTATTAGCCTTTGGGGGCCTGCACCCCATAAGGCCACCAGCAGTCCTTATGCACATTATGGATAAAAGTAGGAGGCCCAGGGATGGCTTTTGGGCCACTTGGTAAGTGGGGTGCCCTTGCCAGAAAAGTGGGCAGAGCCCTTTTGCACACCGGATACTGACTGTCTGGGCCTTTGCATCCTCAGTTCCTTCCAAAGAACCTGCACTTGGTGTGTGTGGACATGCCGGGACACGAAGGCACCACCCGCTCCTCCCTGGATGACCTGTCCATAGACGGGCAGGCCAAGCGGATCCACCAGGTGAGCCGGCAGATGCCGTGGGTGCCCCACCGGGTCCTGCCCAGCCTGCGTGCTCAAGGCTGGGGGCAGGCAGGAGCTTCCACCTGACTCGGGAGCACATTCTGCACACAGCGCCGTCCTGGGTCCACAGCAGAGGGGACAGACTGCACTGCTCTAAGCCTCCCGCACTCAGTGGTGAAGAGACAGGCTAGGCCTTCTCTTGGCTCCTCAGAAAAGGAGTTCAGGGGCTGGTGAGATGGCGCAGTGGTCTAAAGCACCTACTTAGAACAAGCTAAGCTAAACAAAGCACAGGGACCGCGGTTCAATCCCCAGCACCACATGCCAGCCAGCCAGCCCCGCCCCCTGGTGGGCTGAGCTGGCCACACACACACTAAATAAATATTTAAAAAAAAAAAAAAAAGAAAAGAAAAGGAGGTCAGAATTGCTTACGACTGCGTCCCTCTGGGGAGGTCTCTTTTTGTCTTGCCAGCTGCTGGTGATGGCAGTAGCCCTTTGGCCTGGTTAGGGAGGGTGGGCTTGGCATGGTGTCCTGTTTCAGCATCCGTCTCTCGCTCTCTAGCCAGGCCTCCCAGGTCATAGGAGGAGCCGTTTCAGAATTCAGTGGCTCTTAGATTTCAGGTTAACATCAGGCATTTTCCCTAGATGGTATTTGTTTAATAGTGCCTGCCATTTCCGCTGACCCATATACTTTAATGAGGGCAGGAACTTCTTTGGCCTTTTGCTGTATTCTCCGCAGCTGATCCTCATTCCTTGTACATAATAGAGGTATGAAAAAATGTCAGATGCTTGCTAGATGCGTGGGTGTGTGGCTGGATGGCACAGGCTGCAGGTGAGGGCAGGAGTGAGCTATGGCCCTTGGGCTTTCTGGCCTTGTTAAAAAGAATTTTATTTTTATTTATTTTTTTATTTTCTTTTATCTTTTTGGAGGAACTGGGGATTGAACTCAGGCCCTTGCGCTTGCCAGGGAAGCCCTTATTCCGCTGAGCCATCTCCCCGCCCCCCCAAAAAAATTTTATTGGTACATTTTAGGTACACGTAATGATAACATTCATCATAGGGAATTTATACCGGTACATAGTCTGTACCTGGTAAGTAGTAGTTCATTACCTTCCCCTTCCTTCAATCCCTTTTCTCCTCATTTACAAAAGCTTTGTTTCCATTGTTTTTCTTTATTGTTTTCTTCTTGTCCCTCCTTTCCCTCCTCCCTCCCCCTCCCTTGTGCGCCGCCTCATTTGAACATGTCTTCCCATTTCCCAGCATCTGTTACAGGTTTGGGTCCATTTGTATACTTTCAGCTTCTCACGCCAGAGAAACAACGTGGTACTTAAACGTGTCTGTCCGATTCATTTCAGTGTATGGTGCCAAGGTGCGTCCACTTGCCCGGAAGCGTCTCAAGCTCACCCATCTTTCTGGCGGCATAGTACTCCATTGTAGACCACGTCTGTAGTCACTGTTTGGTGGGCCTCTGGGCTGTTTCCAAGATGTAGCTACTACAGACTGCCACTATAAACATGGGTGCATATGTATTGCTGTGGTTTGAGGCCTCTAGCCCTGCTGGCACGATACCAAGAGGAATAGCTAGGTTGAACAGAACAAGCACTATTTTTGTTAAGTTTTGTTGGAATGCAGACCCGGTCATCCACCTATGTCTGTCGCGCAGCACAGAGGCAGAGAAGGATGGTTGTGACAGAAAGTACACAGCCCCACAGCAGAGCAGTTACGCTGCCAACTTCCTAGAAAAGTTTGCTGATTTTCGGATTAGGGATCCTTGTTGGTTTTATACTATGAGGGTCACCTCGCCACCTGTGCCGGGTAGAAGCACAGGCTTATCAGAGGCTGTCAGCAGCGGGCCCCGCCCCACTCAGTCTCGGGACCCTCTGTCCACAATGTCGCCTGTGCCCGTCGCCCGTGGCCGAGCTCAGCACTACAGGACCCTCTGCTGGTGCTCACCCACCACTGCTGTGTCTCACCAATAACCTCGCTCCTTTTGCTTTTCCTTCCTAGTTTGTAGAAGTCCTCAAGCTGAACAAAAAACCCTTTCACCTCGTGGGCACCTCGATGGGTGGCCACGTGGCTGGAGTGTACGCTGCTTACTACCCGTCAGACATCTGCAGCCTGAGTCTGGTGTGCCCCGCTGGTGAGTGCTGACATTAGAGCATCTGTGTGTGACCAGAGTGGTGACACGGGTGGCCAGTGTCTCTGTGACTGTCTTTGAAATACTCTTTTGATGTGAACGTGAGAAATATGCAGTGTGTTGGGGTGCCTCTCACCAAACAATAGTTGTACACTTAGGATCATTACCAGACTGGCTCAGAGCGCGGAGCCAGCCCTGTTCCACAAAGCCCTGGCGGTGGGTGGTTAATGCACACAGTCCTTTGAGGCACATTCAGCACGGATTGAGCTCTCCGTTGCTAAGGCCTTTCTTTCTTTCTTTCTTTGTTTCTTTCTTTCTTTCTTTCTTTTTTTTTTTTTTTTTTTTGGAACCGGGATTGAACTCAGGCCCTTGCACTTGCCAGGGAAGCGCTTATTCCACTGAGCCATCTCCCCGGCCCCAACTAAGGCCTTTCTGTGGGCTTAACTTCCACAGTAACCATATGAAAGCACGCCTATAATCTCAGCACTCTGGGAACCTAAGACAGGGTTCTGTGGGCTCCCGAAGCTCCTAGTCCCCTGGCCACAGTGGGAATAAGCAGCGTGAAAACACATATCTGGAAGGGTTTTTTGTTTCTTTAAGCATGGTTTTGACTTTAAACAAAGATAGCAGAACCAATTAAGAAATCTGGTGAAAGAAACCTGAATGTATTAGCTTTGGGCTGTCACTGGAAGTTCTCTACATAAAGTGAGGGTGCTTGCCTGGCAAGCAAAAGGGCCTGAATTCAATCCCTGGTTCTGCCAAAAAAAAAAAAGTGAGGGTGTCACAAAGGTAGTGCACTGTCATCTGTTTGGTTTGACTCCTACAGGCCTGCAGTATTCAACTGACAACCAGTTTGTACAGCGGCTCAAAGAGCTGCAGGAGCCAGAAGCCGTGCAGAAGATCCCGCTGATCCCTTCTACCCCAGAGGAGATGGGCGAGATGCTACAGCTCTGCTCCTACGTCCGCTTCAAGGTGCCCCAGCAGGTAACGGGCGCCTGCATCCACTGCCAGCTCCATCACATCCTCTTCCATTTATTCTTTCCTTTGTCCTTGAGACAAGGTCCCGCCATGTAGTTCAGGCTGGCCTCGCATTTACTTTGTAGCCCAAGCTGGCCTCAAACCCGTGCTGATCCTCCTGCATCAGCCTCCCCTGGCACTACAGGCCTGCACCCCCACACCCAGCCTCTTGCCTTTGTTCCCTTCACACTTCCTTGGGGGTGCCTGTGATGTGTCGGGCTCTCCTGGACATAGTTGTAAATATGAAAGACAGAGAAGGTCCCTGAGCAAATCAGTCTAGCACAGGGGATGGACAGTTAGCAAGAAGACAAAAAATTACAAATTGAATGTGCCTTGGAGAGGAGAAATACAGTGATTGGAAAATGGGGGCAGGAGTAGCTTTGACCAGCCTGTCTGAGGGGACAGTAGGCGCAGAAGTGGAAAGGAACACAGGTTGAAGACAGTAGAAGGGGCCAAGTATCTGAGGCCTGGAGGGTGAGGGAGAGAATGGGGTGAGAGGAAGGTGGAAAGGGAGGCGGGGGCTAACTGGTGGTGAAAAAGTCTTAGGTAGGCATGGTGGCGCATGCCGATAGCTCAGCACTCTGGGAGTATTGCTAGTTCAAGGCCAGCCTAGGCAACCTAGATTCTGTTTCAAGAAAACAGGAGCTAGGGCTGTTGTCAGTGTCTCAATCTCTAGTACCAAAGGAGAGGCAGCTCTTAGGAGCTCTTTATACTCATAAAAATAGAGGAGCTATATTATTTATTTGTGCGGCTATATTTCTTTTTTTTTTTTTTAATTTTTTTTTATTTT